ACAGGAGATTTTATGCTTATTTTAAAAAATAAGTATAAAAGGGAAAAAAGTGCAACTTGAAACCAATCATTTTGCCTCTCAATATGATGTTATTTCCAAACTGAAACTCCACATTAAAGGAAGAGGAGCATTCAGGCCTTTCCAATGAGATTTTTTCCCATCTGATGTTTCTTTGTGATGCTGCTGTATTTCTGCCTTGTGTGGCTCCTTTCATGCCTTTTAGCAAAAAGTTTAGGATCTCTCCATTCCCTTCCTTTTACATATTTAGAGTATATAGGTAGAGCCTGCTCTTTTCTGTCATATATATATATATGAGTGTGTATATACATGAGTGTATCTATATATTCTTACAACTTGCAGATTCTTTTCCTTTCTGGTCTTCCAAAGGAAAGAGCACATCTTTGCATTAAGCTTTTCCAGAGCTGTTCACCTATTTCAGTAGGTGTGAGCAGGCAAGGAACAAGTAATATATCCATTCCCCTCTACACGGGTTTCCCTCTCTGCTTCCTATCCTTTCTGCTCCTTCGTCAAACTACCTGTTAAGTTTTCTGGATCGCTGCTGAAAGCTGAAGGAGTACTCTCTTGCAAAGCAGAAGCCACTTGTGATAGAAATGTCTCTTGAAATCTGGGTGAAGCAGATGTCTTGGGAGCATTAGCGCTCCAGTCAGTGCACCTCCGGTGAGCATATCAGAAGTAATAATCCTGGTCAGATGCCTGCGGGGCTCCAACTCAGCATCCATAAAGACCTCTTACACAGCAGGCAAGCAAGCCAATGATGAAAGGCAAAAGCCCTTGGTAAAGGTGATGGTGTATAGTTACCTGCTTCCAAAGCACAGAGCTCTTGTAGTCTTTGATGGACTTCCCCTCCAAGGGTATGACTTAAATGTTGAGCCCCCCTCCTTTACCCTATTGCCTTGGGTGAAACAGTTACCTCAGCCCAGGCTGGAGAGCAAGTATCTCATAGGGCAAGTTTCCTCTGAGGAACATTCTTGCCTTTTGTATCATCAGGACATGCCCCTGCTCAGAGGGAAGGAGGAGCTGCTCCATGATCAAGCTATCTCATCCATCGTGTGCTGAATCCATCTGGACTGGCCCTTCCCTAATTAGGGCAGCAGTCACCTGAAACACCTTCTCTGTGGATGACCTCACTGCTGCCTTTATGCTGCCACACTTCCCCATGTAGCACCTCGCCATGCTGGCAGCAGCAGCCAAACCCATGCTTCTCCTGAAGTTGTCTTGTCTTTGCTCATTCCTTCACTCCATTTTCCCTCAAAAAAGAAACATGTAAGAAATGAATTAACTTGTCAAGTAAATGAGTTGGCTGGCTATTAAAGAAAAAAAAAAAAAAAAAAGCCACATTCCTCATACATGGTCTGCAAGTGCCTCTGTTCACCCATAGCCTCTGCATCCAGCCAGGCAGTTGAGGGACTGAAGTGATGCTCCTGGAAGGGTCCTCAAAACATTGCTTTTTTGGAGCTGAAGATGGTCACTGAAGTGATGAAGACTGAGTTTTAAGCTGAGGGGAACAGCTGGAAGTGTTTAGGTGCCTGGGTACAGTAATTAAGGGAACTGTACAGTGGGGATGGAAAGGAGCTACATATTCCCAGGACTGCAGTACTGTTGGGTATTCCCAGGGCTGGAGTACTGTTGGGTATATAAAGCTACGTGCCACTGGGATGAACCTTAGACCAAAGACCATTTTGTGTGGCTGTAAGGAAGGTGGCTGTGGATGAAGGACTGTGGCTATGGGGTTGATCACTTATGAACAAGCTGTGAGAGGACAGGGCACCAATAGTGGGATGGGGGAGTATTTGAGACAGTTAACAGTGGGATGATAGTAGGTGCTGAGCACAAAAGGGTGCATGAGGTGACATTTGTTCAGTGTCTGGGTGGAGGTGGTAGGAGTTAACTGAAACAGTACAAGGTACATGGTCCCCTCAGTTGTCTCCTTCGTAGCTTCCCCTCATTCCTTATCAGAGATGAAAACATAAGGAAGAAACTGATGACCTTGGAGATACTCCTTGTACAAGAGGAACACATTGCACCCACTCATGCAGTTCCTGCCTCTGTTATTTTATTAAGCACACCACTGCTTCTCTTAACCCCACTGCCCATCTTTCTAACTTGCATGACTCTGCAAAGTTAGCCAGTAACTGTGATGATGATAACAAAGCAGGACCCTTGTGTAAAGGGAAAGCAGTCAGTGAAGAAGTGGATGTCACAGCTTCAGAATTTCCTGTCTGAATACAGGGACAAGCTACCACTGCTGAAAACACAAAGTGCAAAGGACTTGTCCAGTGGTTGCTTGTATGCTGAAGTGGTTTCACCTCATGAAACATGCTAAGCTTGAAGAGAAAGCTCTATGGCCTGTTCTGGCTTAGGAAAGTGTTAGCACCTAGAGTGGTAAAGGGAGGTTGGTTACACCAACTTGCTGTTGTGCATTTCTGATATCGTACTTCCCCTCTAAATCACCAACATCCTCAAGAGGCACCAATGGTGGCATCTTCACTGTTGGGGAATAGCAGTTAGCTTCTCTAACTCTGTCATAGTGAAATCCTGCCCGTTGGTTACCAGTGAAAAGGAAAACCGCTAGACAACATATTTGGATGATTTAAATTACAGGCACCTAGATCTGAGAATTCATACAAGATAATTTAATGCTGTTTAATTGCCTAGAATTCCCCATTTAATCTTGAGTGGCAAATAAGGTGAAATAATTATTTCATACTAAATACGGCTGAAGGAAATTACACACAAATAAGCCCATACAGGAAATGTTTTCAATTTATTTATATAAACAACTGCATTTTAAAAACATTATCGTCCTACAAAAATAAAATGAAAAACAATTCACAGACTTTTAAAATAAATAATCTCAAACATACATATTTATCATAAGCAACTTGAACCCAGCCAAACCCAGCAGGTTGGGTCAAAGATAAGTGACTGTTGAAATGTGGCTGCAGAGTACAAAACACAGTGAACATGATTCTATTCTGAAGCAGCTTATAACTTAACTCAAATTACATGGTCTGAGGAATTCCTCTATTACATGCCCTAAAACAACTAGATCTGTCCAGGCTTGCCTCCCTTTGACTCTCAAGCAAACACTTTTCCTTTTTACTAATAGAAGGGTGCTCTGAAGTGTGTTCCAGAGATGGATCTGAATAATAATTACATATTTATCAAGTGTCCAAGCAGTTTTCACTTATAAGCAAATACAGTACTAACCACCTTTTAATACAAGGTTATTGAAAATTTTCCCTTCTTCATGCTTCAAACAGAAGAAGGAAAACAAATGCCCTTCTTTCTCTCAAAGCATTCATACCAAAGACCACCTCAAATCAGTCACTCGTACTGACTGCTATAGGAGATCTTGATTCAGCTATTCACACTAACAATTACAAACTTACACAGCAAAAGGTAATTGGCCTCTTTAAATAAATCAACAGAAACAGAAGTCACAGTCAAACTATACTACTGCCATAGGCATTATAACATACAAGCCTCTAGAAATGTTTGAGAGATTCATGTGAAATATAAAAACTCAAGTCCTTTTCCAGAAGTAGTCAAGAAATTTTGGGCAGAGGCACAAAATAGCAGGTTGCTGCTCTATTCCAGTCTGAAGTGACTTTTCTTTTTATCTATAGTTCCCAAGCTGCTTTTAGGGGAGGATCATCTTCTACATTTCCTCTCTAGAAATTAGAAAAAAAATAAAAATAAAAAAAAAAAATACCCTTACATGCAAAGTTTGAAGTGCTGGTACAAGAACCTGTGTATCTCCTTACGTACCCAGGCAGGACTACATATTTTAGTGCTGGATCAGGACAAATATGTCTAGGAGATTCTGTGCTAGCTAGCCAGTTTTAAATAAGCTTAAGTCACTTAAAATGCCTTTGTTTATAAGTTATAAACAAAACATTATCCCTCTTCCCCCCCCAGTAAATAGAACTATAAGTCACAAATATAGCTTGTGTACATAGACATAAGCTACCTTTAAGTCTTGGTGCCTTGAAGTTTTGCTAGACCTACTCTATATTCATTTCTCTGCTGTGCGAGTTTACACAGCTTCTCAGTTTTCACTATTCCCCAAGAATCTGGGGTTTGGGTACTAAAGCTATACTATAGTCACATCCTTATCTAAAGCCCTACTGTTCATTTGTCCTTAAAGTGACAAAGATTAAAATTATATTATCAAGTAGACCAGAGAACTACAGCTACGAAAAAAATACCAATAATTTGGACTAAGTTTAAGACCTCCCCAAGCTTGCATGATAAAACATCTGAAGCAAGATACAAGCAGCCTTGTATTGCAGCATGACAGTCAGTTATTTCTAAGCTCAGTACCTATTATTATCTTCTTACACAAATAATACATCTGTGACATATGCTTCAACAAGTAGTATCCAAAAGAAGTTCCATTTTCTTTAAATAAATTAAAAAAGTATAATGCCACATGAAAATAGATTTACACATAAAACCAAACATAAGTTACTATACAAAGTGCCTTATTTGCAATAAGGGAGAGGTAGTATCAACAATGAATGCAACGCATTTTCTGACTTGACATGATTAAGTCTCAAGTATATGTATTTTTGTTAATCTTTGAGTGCTTATATTGAATTCATAATCTTTTATGGCAGTTTTCATTAAGGCAATTTTTTCTTGTACTTTTAGTTCAATGGCCTGTTTAAGAAGTTGCTGAGGCAGTAACTTGCTTTTGTAGTGTTATGTGACCTATCAAGTGAAGAGACAAAAACCCCACTAACACTCTTTGTCAAGTATTAACACAAAAAAAAGTTGGAACCTTTGTCCACTTTGGAATACATAGTTCTGTTACAGAAGACTTTAAACAAGGGATTCAACACTGTAGAGCTCAAACACAGAAAATCCCTTTTGTAAGTAGAAGCCTTACCCAAGTAAGGCACCTAGGGCAACCCCCAGAATGAAGATGCTCAAGTTTTGGGAGGGTTTCCCCCCCTCTTTAAAAAAAAAAACCCACAACTTTAAGCCATAAATAGAATAAATTATATAGTTAAATAAATAAATAGATGGATTTTTACAACTCAGCAGATCGTTCTTTCAGTAGTAGTGTGGGATTGATGTCTTCCATTGCTGTTTTTGAGGTACTAACATTAATAGTTGCCTCTGTGGGTTCAGGATTTAAGATGTGGAAAGCTGTGAAGGGACAGCCTTTCACATTGTTGCAGATGAGCTTCTGTAAGGATGCAGTATTGATTATTTCAAATCCAACTTTTCCACCAAAGGTGCTAGGCTTCCAGTACTCAGGGGAGCAGATAGCATTTCCCATGAGTCCTTTCAGAGAGAACGGTGCTCCAATCTCCACCATTGTTTCACCGAAGATGGCACCTGGTCGTGGCTTTTCTACAAGAAGGCCTGGGTACAGCTCCATAGCATCAATGTCTCCATAAAGCTCTTCCAGTTCAGCTGCCATTTCTTTTTCTCCTGTAATTGATTAGTAAAAAATGTAAGTGGAAAAATCCTATTTTCATTGCAAGACTGTCCTGTTCAAGCCAGTAACAACACTGCAGGACTCTGTTAGCCATTTTAAGAAGAGGGCCTTGTTTGTTAGAAAAGATGAACAGTGTTACCTGTAAGTTCTTCAAATGATTTGAATGGTTTCAACATGAAGCGTTTCCTGTACTCATTCAAGGACTGGTATCTCATTTGTCTGCTTTGGTCAATTGAAGCCTTTGCTACTTTCTGTACTGCAGCAGGAACGTTTTTCCCACCAGCAACCTATTTAATAAGATGAAAAGTAGTAAGATCTCCCAGTAAGAGTAATGATGAAGTTGTGCCTTTATAGTATTTGATTAGATTTTGATAGCTTTATCTTACCCCCTCTTCCCACCCCTAGTTTACATCTCTGTTAGTTCACTAGCAACTTGAGAGAGTACCTACCCTGCCAGCACTTTGCTTGGAGAAAGATTTCACCATATGGGAAAGGCCATGTTCCAGCATTATGGAGTTGTTGTAGAGAAACTGCTGGAAAGTGTACTCCTGGTCATGTATTTGGAAAGTGTCAGGCAGAAGTGGGTGCCAGTGGTAGAGAGTATTGAATTCGGCTGCAATTCGATTCTGGTATTGAAATCGCTGGTTGAACAGCAGCTCAGGATCAAACTTGAGTTTGAAGTGGTAGCCACTCAAGTGTTGTACATAGTCCTCAATAACAATCTTGATTGTTTCTCCTGTTGGTCAACGAAACAGAGGAGAATATTGGTACCAATTGCCTCACAAAATTTAGGAGACTCCTCTGCTCAGAGAAAATACCATTTCTGAACTGTTCTTAAAAAAACACCCTCCAGACCTATAATGAGCAGGGTAACACACTCTTCAACATTGTTATCTGTTCTAGAAAAGAATTCATCTATTTTACATGATTAAGGGGTGAAGCAGTACTTTAAGATTTCAAAATTTTTTGCTGTGGTAGAGAAGCATTTTCTACAGGCTGCTTCCCCCACCCTAGATACACTTCCACAGAACAGCACACATCAGTATCTACATTGTGTTCAGTTATAGAATACTCTCCAGGGTGGATGCAGGGGATAATGAAGAATGTTGGTATCTGAAAGCAACTGTCAGCTTCTGAGCTGCTTAATAGCATTGCCTTGGTTTACAGTTTCGGCAAGGTCTTTTCAAGCTTAGTGTACATCACAATGTACAGAAGGCTAAATACCACTGAACAGACAGACAAATATGTGGAATTACATTTTACATAACTTCCTGAACATGAAACAAACACAGCTGTTCTTTTAAAGCATACCTGAACTGACCCAACCCCAAGGGAAAAAAAAAAAAACAACCAACAACAGCAAAAAAAAAAAACAAACAACACAAAAATCCAAGAGACTGAGGTCAACTAGCCTTACATGCTTTCTCTAAGAAATAAGCCTTATCGTCCTGCTTTTTCACAGCTTTCAGTTCTGTTTCAATTTGATAAGGGAATTAAGTATCACTTTGCTCAGTTTTATTCAGTTCTCTCTTTAATAGAGCCATACAGGAGGAAACTGTATCTCAATACAGTCCCAGTGACAGGTCAGGCAGGCTCAGATGTATGCCCTCATGCCAATTTGAGTAATAGCTTTGCCTCTTACTACAGCTACTGCATCTGCAGTAGATAACAGGTAGAACTGTCACACACAAGAGAAGATTAGAGTTGCATGTAGTAGAAGTGACACTCACCTATCAATATGAGTCTAGTAGTTTGGAACAGCTGCTCATCATCCCACTCTGGGTGCTCCTGTTTCAGGATATCACAGACCCGGTTGTGCTCCCTCAGCCATATTGTAGCATACATCATCAAGCCTGGGACCAAACCAAACACCTCCTGCCCAACAGAAAACTGCAAGTGTTCTGGTATGTGAGGAGGGTAGATCATCTCTGCCTGAGTGTCCTTCACTGTTGGTGGATACATTTCTCCATCAATCATCTGCCAGGGGTAGGGAGAAAGAACAAGAGAATTTTAAGCCATGATGCCATGAGTTAACTTGTGTTGACTGTTACTACCAACTTTAGGCTTACTCTTTAGATCAACTACACCATGCACAGAGCACTTGTTTTAAGAAGTACGTGTCATGCAGTAAGAAGGCAGGGATTCCGAGATAAGACATACCTGGTATTTTAGCTTTCCATCCTTCAGAAGTCTCAGTTTAAGTTGCCTCTCCAGAGTCTCTCCATAAATATGGTTTAAGTCAACCTATAAAATAAAATCATTTGCAACATGAAGCCAGCTCGCATTTCTTGTTATTTTAGGATACATCCCACTTCTATGGATGCAAATAGGAGTTCATCCCTTAGATGTTTACCCTTTAATTATATTATTATTACCTTATAAGTACCATGCACTGATATTTCAGATGAAGCCAAATTATTTCCTTGCAACTACAGCCATCTCTGCATAACAGCAAGTTTTTAAATTGATTGTCAATTTGAAAAGGACTCTGTTTAAAGTGTTGGAAGCTTTCTATTATGCAGAAAGGTCTTTATATACGCACATATTTTATTGCTTTGTTTCAGACATACACATTGCTTATACTGAAGAACTCTTTGTTCAAAGTTTGCCTGTTTTATAGATAAAGATCCTAAACCAAGTCTGCTTTTGAAGTTCTTTTTAAACTAAGTCTCTTTGATTAGCAGCAGACAACATACTTTACAGTGCTGGGTACAGCTCTTTGCAACCAAGAAGTTCTAGATACTCACTAGATCTAACATGCTTTAGGTGATAGCAGATTCTTAGGAATAATAAAAAAGTCAAAGATCAATATGCAGATATTTTAACCAGAACCATGTGCTTTACATAAGTGGTTCTGACCCAGGATGAGATGCTACCAAGTGCTGGAATTTTGCCTAAGCAGAAATTACAGAGGAGATAAAGACATCAGATTCTGGCAAACAGTTCTGCACAGTATGTGCACTGGTGTTTGTGTACCCTGACAACCTGCAAGATAGACCTTAATTGCTACTGAGCAGCTACAATGCTAAAGTGCTGTGTTCAAGTTACAGAGCTATGATCATACCCCATGGCCAAGACCTTTGGTGAAGCCAGGTCCTTTCTTGTGGTCTGTCTTGAAGAACTGATGAGTGAAGTGTTGGGCAAAGAACGTGAACATCACATTTGTGCCTTGTGGGTCAGGAATAAATTTTTTCCTTAGCAAAAACTTTTCCACAATCAGCTTTGAATCTGGGAGCTCTTTCTTACCTGCAAGAAATAGTGAAATAGTCCAGACAACTATGTTTATGCAATACTTAATTTTGTTCCTAACAAAAAGGCTTAAAACTGTCAATATATTATCTAGGGATAGCAGCATTAAAATAAGGGGAATTATCTGCTTCCCTATGATTACTTTATTGATTTTGATTGAAACTTCTAAATTCCCCAGTTTTAACATGTAACTCAGTGAGAGCCAGCATAGTTATCTTTTACATCTTTACACAGTGTATCCAAACCAATGGCTATTCTTACAGTAATCCACAGTGAAAAAAGGCTATAAACAAGCAGATCTCATGGTATTTTCCAAGATAAGATACATTGAAATTCCTAGAAGGGAACATTATGCATTTGGTTTATTCCTTACCTTTCACACCCATTGGTGTTGGACAGTCAAGTCCTACTGGTGGAAGGCTTCTTGTGTAATAGGAAAGGTTGGAATAAGCTTCCCAGTTTTTGTAATTATAATCACTATTGTAAGTTGGTGGGCTGTCGATCAGGTGTGATCTTGCTGAAAAAGAAAATTAAAAAATTGGTTGGCTGGTTGTTGGTGTGTTTGGGGTACTTTTCCCCCCCAAGCTGTACATTTTAGTCTCAAAAAGTCACAAGGCCATATCTTTTCCATGTATTCTGGAAGCAGCTTCATTGAGAAATTTCACACGTATTAGCTACTGATGGTAAATAGGATTATAGTTGCTGAATAACAGTATTGAGTCTCTGATTATCTACTGAATCCAGCTATTAACATGAGTAATTTAGTGCAAATTTTATGCTAGCAAAATCCGGAATTCTATTATAGATCAGAGCAAAATGCATCTCCATTTCAAAGCATTTTTCATACAAGTTTGCATCATGCAGAAATCTCAAGTTGAATAGAGTGTTTTTACTTCAGTGTGATTTAGGTTGCTGACTTTATATACAGACTAATCAATCATGCTGGGGTTCTAGGAGTGACTTCTGTCAGTTAAGAGGACTAGAAGAGAGAACTCATGCTTACATGTTAATACATATCTCATAATAGCATCCCGTAAGAAAGGTATGTTGTTGATGATATTCCAGGCTCCTTTGAAGTGGGTGAGGATGTAGTGGACAGTATTTGGTGTAGGTTTCAATGTCAGCTTCAGCCACGTGAAGAATTCCGCTGTGAGCATTAATGAACAGATTATTGTAAATTAGCTGTTAAGGATGACCTGCAATGCTGGAATTTAATTATCAAATTTCTATTCCTTGAAGAGAGATTTAGGATACTTACGTGTTGTACAGTTTTCCCCATAATACCCTGTCCTTGTACAGTCACATTCATACTGATCAAATCCTGTTGTCATACATACTCCTCTGTTCTGACAAGGGTTTGAGCAGCAAGGGTTGGCTAGAATGAAACCAAATGCTCCAATTAGCATTTTATATCATTATACCAGTATTCTTATCTCACTAAGATAACTTATCAAACTTAGGTAGGCAATACCGTGAAGTTCAATGCTTATTGGGAAGACAGAGACCGCACAACAATTCACCGTAGCCTTTAAGCTGCTACAGGTAATGGTTATTAGCAAAAGCATAGGAGTTTGTTTCCTGGCAACAATAAATATCCTCAGAAGCGTTGGATTATCTAGCAAGAGGCCTAACATACTTTCTACCGTATAGCAAGCATAGGAGAAATCACAAGAGAATACAGAACATTAGAAAAACCCTATAAATATTAATTCATTCGCAGCCGAAAAGAAATGCTCATCGATGGCTTAGATCAAGATTCACCCGCTGCCGGACACGCTCCTGCCCCCGTGAGGGGAGGGAGGGGACTCACCTGCGTGGCTGGCAGCTAGGAGGACAGCCACCAGGGCGCAGGGTAGGATCATCTCCAGGCGGGGCTGTGGCGGGGACTCTTGCTGTGTCTCAAGCTCTGCGAGTGCTCGGCGCCGAGAACCCAATGCTGCTCCCAGGTAGGCGCCCGCCTATTTATGCCTGGCGCCGCCAGTGAGTCACCCGCTCTCCGCCCGCCCGCCGGAAACTATCACGAAATGGGGGATTTCGCGCCGCTTCGCGCCGGCTCGCCCCGCCACCGCCACCGCCACCGCCCGCTGCCACCTGCCGTGGGCCCCGCCCCCGGGGTGCCGTCACGCTGCGGCGGGGGGCGCTGGGGTGGCGGCGGACATGTGGCGGCCCCGTCCTCTTAATCTCGGCTAAGCCTCCTCTGCGGCGGGCCGCGGTCTGCCAGCTGGGAGCCACGAGGGGCTGAGGGGAACCTCGGGGGCTGGGGAGGACCCTGTCGGGGACCTCCGCCACTTTTGAGTCCCCGGTGGCTTTGGGGAAGAGGAAGAGGGGGAGTCGCTTTCGCGGAGGCGGCTCCTCAGTGACCGGGCTTGTCGAGTTCCCATCGCCGCCGCCGGCGTCTCCTCAGGGCAGGGCGGCGGCAGCCACCCACGGGCGCCTCGGGGCTGACGGCGCTTCTCGGCGGCCCGCGTTGTGCCGAGCGACACGGGTGCGTGGTGTCTAGAGAGGTGCTGAAATCCCATCCCCGATTCCCTCCTCTTCGTCCAAACTACCCCTTTTCCAAGTAATGTTTCTTAATGCCTGTTCTCGCACCTGCCCGCTGGCGCCCCGTTTCCCCGGGAGAAAACGCGCTTTTCTGACTGAAAAAGTGCCGTGAAGACTGTTACGCTGCAGGAGAAATATAATGGGCAAAAGGCACGGTGCCATTAGTATCCTGCTGACCTCCGGGTGCCCCCCCAGTATGACACATCATTGAGCACTTTGGGGAACATGGGGTTTAGCTTGTTAACAAGGTAATTTTAATATGTACATTAAACAAGTGGTTGGAAGACTGTTTTTCCCCATATGCATGGAAGGAGTCTCACTGCAAGACTCGCGTTGCAAATGGATGTATGGGGAGAGGGGCATTAGAAAGGAATACTGAATGTATTTCATTTTATTTCTAGGTATGTTTATGATGATACCAAATCCCGTTATTAGGCATCTTATTTTGAAATCACCAGTGACTTCTGTGCTGGCACTTTTGCTTTAAAATACCGCCCGCTGCTCTGTATAGTCGTTTTGTAAACAAATCTTTGCTCGTTTCCGTCAGATTTTGCCATTTGAAGATGCTTTACCTTTTTGTCATAGGTTATTTATTTTTAATCAGTACTCTCTACTACTATTTTTAATCTTCATTGCGTGTGGAAAATGTCTTATGAAACAAGTAGGATGTAACGCAGTTGTGTAATTCTCTACAGCGTGGTGCTGGGGGCTTGCTGCAGTCTTCCCATTGCGTGTACTTTCGCTCTCAATGTCAGTATTAAACAACAACAAAAAATCCACTGCTGTTTCAGTAGCGATATCTTTTGAGGTTCGAAGCTAATGGTGTTTAAAATTGCAAATCGGTGACTTTACAGAAAGTGGATTTGGTCCAGTTTAAACAAAATCTTATTTTTGGCCCAGAAGAACTGTGTTGTGGTTAGTGAATAGTTTGTATACATCAGCAGTAGGTCATCCTGGATGTTTTAGAGGATAGTGCACGAAAGTCTGTAATCACACGATTCTTCTGGCATAGGAAAAGGCATATATTATATATTTATATATATATTTATATATTTATATGCATATGTATAAGAAAACTACTGGCTTTGGTCATACACTTGAAGCAGAGGATAGCTGTCGGCAGCCTGTTCCTGTGTAAAGCATAAGTCACTGCAGGTTGCAGCTACCTGTAAGTCTTGTAACTGTTACTCAGACTTACCAAGTGTGAAAGGGGAATGTTTTGTTTTTGCACTATGAGGGGTCATTAGCCAAACTGACTAACACAAAGCACTGGTAATGTCCAGTGGAATAGAATGTAGAAAGGGATGTGTGGTAAGCACAGTGCTGTAGGTCAAAGGTTTTGCTTTGTAGATTTTAAATGTCCATTTTACAACGATTTTATTCTGTCTTACAAAGTTTTTATTGATGCTGTTAGGTAACAAATCTTTACAGAAAATACTAGGTGAGATACTACATTTTAATAAGGCGTGCAGGAAAATATAAATCCAGAAAATGTTTCTAGGGTGTAGAACCAGCAATGTTAAGGGGAAAAATGAGAGAATTACCCCTAACATGATACTACAATGCTAATTATGTTATGATTTGGAGTACCCTGAGGATATAGGTAGCTGGTATTCCTTAAGGTTTTCAATTATTATAACTAATCAATGTGCAAACTGAGCAATAGAGCAAAACTTCAGTCTTGGCAGATGCTTCTCCTTAAGAAGCAGCAATTATTGCAGCTGAAAAAAACAGCACACTTCACCTTCTACCCCACCCTACATATGGTACGACAGGAGCTCCCTGCAAGTCTGTTTTTGGCTGAGGAACTTCAGTTGCACACCTGATAGCTGCAGTATAACTTGGAAGGATTCTTTAATTTTCCAAGATGATGGAAAATGGGGGAAATATGATAGTGCTGTTTTTTTATTGAAGGTTGCCCATTGCCCCATTGTTCTTTTGGGACTGTCTATAATAAAGAACTGGTTATATGTTGGAATGGGAATTTCTCTTAAAAGTTTGCTGTGGCAGATTTCACCACCAGGTGGAGATTTTATGCATCAGCCAACAAATGCTTTTTGGGGGGTTTTGTTTTATTTGTTTTTTGCATATAAACCATCTTTGAAAAAAAATAACCAAAACCAAAATCCACACACATACACACACAGACACACACAAAACAAAACGACAAAAAAACCCACCACCAACCAGTGTTATTTTTACTTCTGCAATGGTTATTTTATTAAGTGCCCTTTTGTCCAAATGAAAGCAGCCTGTTGAAGAAGTGTAGCTGATTTTATATTGGCTGAAATTTCTGTAGGAGGTGATTTTCTGAAAACTCTTTGTTCTTGTTTCTATTTTAGGTTTGACTGCATACAGAGGTTACATACAGAATATATCGAATTCACACTTCTTTGCTGAGATCAGGTTATTGCTTCCCTAAGGTGAAGTTTCAGGACAGTATTGGCAGAAGATAGAGCAACCCATAAAGGTCAACATGCTCCAGTAATGCCTCTAAAAGAAGGGGAGGTGGAGCAGCAGCCAGGAAATGTTGTCCCATGGAGCTGGTGCTACTCCATTTTTGCACTGACTCCTGTAAATATAAGGCAAATGCTGTTGTTTTCATAATAAAGATTTTTCAGAGATGGCATTTCTGTGGAGGGAAGATGAAAGCTTTGTAGAGCCTATCATGTATCCTCTTGAAAGGCATCTACAACTGACCTTTCCAGCAAATACATTACCCACTCCCCCCAAAGTATTTTAATTAGTATTATCATGTAGCTATGCTTCATTGGGAAAAATTAGTAAATTCTTCACTTCTCCTCAGAAATATTTGCACCCCCCAAAAAAAACAGCTTTGCTGTTCTGGGACATTTTGTAATAACTGCACATGGAAATTATACTTCTATACATAGTGAAATACAAGATTGGGTGTGTCCCCCCCCCCAGCAGTAGGTAGAACCCCACATGACCTGTCTTTGACAACTTCTAAAGAAGCAGGATTCACTGAGTATTACTGTCCTCTTTTGCTGGATGTTTGTTTCTTATTGTATGACATGATAAATGATGATATCCAGCTCATTTTTGCTCTTTTTACTATTTAGATTATAATTTATCTCAGAATAAGCTCTATTAATTTAATAATTTACAGTCCAAGCCACATAAAGCTGTGCTTTGTAACTGAACTTTGCAAGGTTAAGCTGTCATTAGAAGCTGTTAAATAATAAGGAAAAAAAACCCCAGAATTTTAAGGTGTAGCTATCAGAAATGGAATTGAACAAATACTTGTACTAACAGATTACTTTGCACACTTAAAAAAACAATTAAAAAAAATCCCACTTTGCCATCACATGCATGGGAATGACAGCTCAATGTGAGCTGGCAGCTGAATATGTCTACAGAAATGTGCTAAGCTGAAAGACAAAGTACCATCTATGATTTGCTGGGGGAAAAAACACAAGGTGTTTATAATATTGTTACTTCATAAATTACATCACCAAATTGTTCAAGTAAACAAATGTTAAGACTTTTTAATGTGTTTTTGTTTGTCTGTTGTTTTCTAGCTGTCCTCTCTATATGATCTAAGAACTTGAGGTTCTTAGGCGGCATGTGATTTTATTTTTATTTTGCATCATATTTGGTGAAAACAACAAAATAATCTACCTTTAAGTTGTAGACCTGTTAAAATTGTGTCCTTAATGAGTGAAAGGATTTAGCTGCATATCTTAAAGTATCCACAGGAAAATTGCATTTTCAGAAGAAAAGCTATATTTTATTCTGTTAACTGCTGAGTTGACACAGTATGCTTTGGGGTTGAGACAAAGTAGAGCATGAGTAGCTGTCTGGATGCCAGGATGATTTTAACTTCTCCTGAGTTTCACCTGCATGGTGGGTGTCTGGTCATATCCAGGATATGGATGACTAACAAATGCTCTGATGGAGCAATGTGGTGTGAATATTCTGGAGAGAGAGCATGAGACTGCAAAGACTGCTTGTAGTCCCCAGTGAGATGCTAAGTGAGCTTTTCATCTCTGCTTTAGTGAGCAGCCAGTATCTTTATGAAACATTGAGTAGATGATGCATGGCATTAAATAAGCACAAATACAGGCTGGGTGGAGACTGGACTGAGAGCAGCTGAGGTGCTGACTGACAAGAAGCTCCATGTGACCCGGCAATGTGCATTTGCAGCCTAGAAAGCCAACTGGGTCCTGGAGTGTGCATCAAAAGGAGTGTGACCAACAGACTGAGAGAGGGGCTTCTCCCTCCCTACTGTGCTCTCATGAGAGCCCCATGCAGTCCTGCATCTAGCTCTGGGCCCCCCAACACAAGACGGACACGGAGCTGCTTGAGTAAGTATAGAGGAGGCCACAAAGATGCTCTGAGGGGTGGAGCACCTCTCCTGCGACAACAGGCTGACAGAGTTGGGCTTGTTCAACCCACAGAAGAGAAGGCTCTGGACTGACTAAAAAAAATGGAGAGGGACTTTTTACAAGGACATGTAGTGATAGGACAAGGGGTAATGTCTTAAGATGTGAGAAGGTAGATTTAGATTAGATATTAAGGAAAAAATTCTTCACTGTGAGGGTGGTGAGGCACTGGCACGGGTTTCCCAGAGAAGGTGTGAATGCCCCATCCCTGGAAGTGCTCAAGGCC